GACTAGTTTGGGGTACTTCTTGACTGTTTTTCATTTTTCGTCGAGACTCCGCCTGTAGGAGGCCACGCCCGACCTACATCTACGCCTCCCAGGTGGATCGAAGCAGATGGGGTCCGAGGATCGTGCGCCATCGCCCGTGCATCGGCAATGAGCCATGAGGCTCGGTGTGGGGCCCGACTGTTTCCACGCCGACCGCGTCGATGCATCGCCGACGTCGCCGATGCATCGACGATGCGGCGCGATCTTCTGATTCCAGCCTTTCGGGGGGATAGTTACCGTCGAAGCCCGTGCCAAGAAACACCCTGCTTGCCTCCAGAGTGCCCCTGGGTTTCTTGAGCTTGGCTGGTCTGGCCACGGAAAGCGCCACGTTCTCACACCACAAATCCACGGACGTCCTGGAGTCTCAGGGTTCGTGGAAAAACACAGAGTCTACGAACAATCACAGTCTGTGGACAAAAACACAAACAGTCTCTGTGTGTGTGTGTTAGTCCACCGTGTTTTTTCCACGGTGTGGTTTCTCCACACTGTGTGTGTGACAGTGTATGTTTTGTTTTTTCAGCTGACTTTCCACAGTTTCTTGTGGAATGTTTCTTGCGGAATGTTATGTGTTTTTTAAGCAGAATTTCCACCGTTTCCTGTGGAATGTCTCCTGTGGCCGAGCTCCTACCGCAGGGACACGGGGGGAGGGATACGGACTCTGCGTGCAATGCAGGCGGACTCGGCCCCCCCGTCGCCCTGCGCTCTCCACGGTGAAGGCACGGGCGCCTCCAGCGCCGGGAGGCGCCCAGAAAGAGGTTTTGTCCTCCAGATTCGGACAAGTTTAGTTGCACGGCTCGAGAAAGAGCACGCGCCATAAACATGCCGCCGGGGAGGGAGGTCCAGCGCAGATCCAAGACATCCGCGCGGAGCGCCAAACGTTTACGTTAATGGGTTCGTTCTTCTTGTAATGGCGCCCAGGACGAGGTTTTTGTTCCAGACTCGGGCAAGTTTATTTTTTCTGCTCGAAGAAGAGAACACGCCATAAGCATAAACTTTTGGCGCTCCGCGCGGATTTCTCGGATCCGCGCTGGGCTCCCCCTCCCCCTCCCCGGCGGCGCCTCCGGCGCCGCCCCTGGCGCGCCCCGCGCGCCAGGGAGGGGGTTCCAGCGCAGGTCCAAGAAATCCGCGTGGAGCGCCAAACGTTTATGTTCATGTGTTTGTTGTTCTTCTTTTAATGGCGCTCGCCCCTCTTCAAACGAATTCGAGCGTGCAAGTGCCTTTCGACTTGTGTAATCTCCGCACGTCAAGTCGTTAGCGGTCTGCTTCAGGTTCAGGCCCCCCCCCCGCCCGCGCAAGTAAATTCGCCGGAGTCAAAACAAGCAGGTTCAAAACCAGCCACGTTGGCTGATTTGCTGACCCTGCCGTGAACTAACCTCAGCGGCGAGCCCGGGGGGGAAGTGAGAAGGGGCGGGCCTTCTCAGAAGGCTCGGAAGTCCCCCAGACTTCTGAGAAGTGTTCTAAGCCTTCCCCGAAGACAGAGAAGACCTCCCAGAAGGCGCGAGGGCTGCTGAGAAGTCCCGCCGCCTTCTGAGAGGGGCATGGATTAGGAGGAGAACGAGGATGAGGAGGATGGCGTGCTTGTGCTCAGACTTCACTCCAATCGTTCTGAGGCGGAGGAGGAGGAGGAGGAGGAGGAGGAGGAGGAGGAGGAGGAGTACTCTTCTCGTTCGAGTGGCACTGTCCGCGCATTCACTTTCACACGAGCGCAACCGCTGTACATCAAGGGCGTTAAAAACGCCCCTACCCTGGTTTACGAGGCGCTGTGCGCTGAACCTCCTGTGGGCTGACAGGCTAAACCCTGCACATCGCGCATGTCGCGCGGCGTCCTGGCGGCTCTCTGGCCTTTGGGAGCTCCCAGGAGGTTAACGGACCTCGCAGTTGTAACCCAGGGTACAGTGCCGTTTTTAATACATGCTCCCCGTGCGGATCATGTAGTAAAAATGCAGGGATTTAGTATTAAAAACAACGATGGGTTCATGCGTAAATTTATTCATACATTAATCATGTATCAAACATCCGATATGTTAAAAAATCACATGTATTAAAAGCTGCCCCGTAGGGGCGTTCTTGCCTGTGTCAAGCACAGCGTATGCCGCCCGCCCAGCCCCCTCTCGAGGGATCCCCCCCCCGCATTCGTGCTCCTTAATGCGGCGCTCCTAGCCCGCAGGCCGCCACTCCAAGTTCCCCCAGGACGCCGGCGCCGCCCCGGGGGGAGGCGTGCCAAGAGGGGAGGAGCAGGCCAGCCACGATTGGGGGAGCTGTGGTCCTTACCCCCCTTTTGGGGACCCATCGATGTCGACACCCCTCTCGAGAGATCGTCGATGCGACGGGTTCCCCCAGGGTGGTAAGGACCACAGCTCCCCCAGTTATGGCTGGTCGGAGGAGTGCCAGGTTACTTAAGTGGGGCGTGTCCCTCCCCAGGAGGAATATTCCAAATAGTCAAAATTGCCTGGGGACGAACCTTTGAATATTTCTTGCTATGTTTGAATCGCTTGTTGAATATGTGTTAGGTTTCGTCCAGAAGCCGCCTGTAGGAGGACATGCCCGACCTAAGGTTAGAGGTTCTAGATCTTTGTTGTTTGGGGTGCGTTCCAGCATGAACGCCTCGCTGAGGGTGTTCCCGGGGTGCTGTGATCGTCCCGAACAGCCGCGGGAGAGCCGAGCGATGACGCGAAAGCCCAGACATGTGCGGGTCCCGACAGAATCGCTACGGGAGGTTCTTGGCCGTTTTCGGACTTCCGGGGGGGTCGGGACTTCGGGGGCCCAGGAGATACTGAGAATCCAGGCATCGCATGTCTGGGGCAGCAGAGGGGAGCAGGCGGCAGAAAGGGAGGAGGAGGGCCAAGCCTCCCTCCCTCCTCCTCGTCTCCTCTTTCCCCCCTTCCTCCGCTCCTCCTACCCTTTTTTTCTCGCCTCCCCCTTCCTGCCGCCTCGTGTGCTTCTTTTCCTCCTCCCCCACTGCTGTAGTTGCCTCCATCAGTCCTCCTCGTCTTACGTCCTAGATACATTGGGGGTTCGGACTGGTGGCCAGACAAAGCTGGATTCCACCTGCTTCGTTCCATGGATTGTTCCCTCTCCGCCGACCCCATGCGCTAATAGTCGGAGATGTGGTGGCAGAGAGCAGGATCCTGTTCCTTCTCCCCCATCCTCCTCCGTCATCATCTTCCTCGTCCCGGGTTGACTTCTCTCCCCGGCTCCTCATTCTCCCTGCTGCTCCTCCTATTGCCTGCTCCTGCACAGCAGAGCTGTGTTGCGGCCCAGCTGGCCGCAGCCGAGGACTTGGAGAAGCGCCACCACAGGTCTTCGGTGGATATGACGGCGTCTTGTGCCTACGAGGCCCAGACGCAGCACGCGAGGGGGAGTCCAGCGAGGAGAGGTGCGGACGGTAATGACGATGACAGTGGGGTTGGCTAAACCATGGGCCCCACAGTTCTGGATACCAGTGAATGTGGATTGTTGTCCCATGTTGTCCTCCCTCCGCGGCCGCCCTGCCCGTCCTCTTCCTCCTACTGCATGCTGGCTAATTCGCGTGTTGGTGCCCCCCTTTAGCTCGATCGTCGGTGCAGCCATTCTGCCCCGCCACCGACGAAACAAGTGTGTGGGTTATTGGCGGTTCGCCAGATTCGCAGGCACGCGTGAAGAAGCCTGCCGCGGGCGCCGTGCTCTGTATGATGTATGGTATACAGCAGGGGTGAGTCTAAACGGTGTTTTGGGGATTGCGTGGGCCGTTGTCGTTTCGATGCTGTCTTGCGTGAAAGGCGGACAGAAGACAACACGAGGGATAACGAAAACAACACGGAAACGAAAAACACCGTTTAGGTCCCGCCCTGGTATACAGCGATGCGGGTATTGCGAACAGCGCTTGCACTCCAGGGTGTTTACGTTTGGGTTGCAACGTACAGTCGGGGCGCTGAAGAAGGAACCCTTTTCGAATGGGAAGGGGCTCCGCGTTCCTTCATTGTTTCGCAGCTTGCCCTGGGTTTTCCTGAGGTTTTCGATCTGAAATCGAAGCTGGCCCTAGGTTTCCCTCAGGCTTTCGCTCTGAAATCGAAGCTCAGCTTCTGAAAAAATGGGGGCCTCGTTCCTCATTTGGGGTTCCCTCGGTCAACGCCCCGACTGTAGTGTGCTGGGTGCTCTGGGCCGCCGCCACGTCGCCGCCTCGTGGCCGCCTCCCGGGCGCCACGTGGGCGCCCCACACGTGCACAGCCCCACACGTGCGCCCCACACGTGCGGCCGTGTGCTGGGTGTTCTGGGCCGTCGCCACGTTGCCGCCGGGGCCGCCTCCTGGGCGCCCCGTGGGCGCCCCCCACACGTGCGGGGCCTGCTCGGGTCGGGCGCGCCCCTCTGCAGGAGGAGTGCTCAAGCACAGTCCAAGCAGATATGGCCTGGGCACGATGTGTGGCATACGTTTGGGCATATGCTGTGGTTATGGTCGTTTTTTGTTCCCTACCCAGGCCCTGCCTAGAAGGGCTCTTACCCTGTATGTTGAAAGGGCCGGGCAGTGCTCCCCGCCCCGGGCGGTCCCCCCAGGATCCGCCCCGCGGTTCCCCCAGCTGCGCCCCCTTACCTTAGCTTTGCGTATCTCATCACATCTTAGCTTAGCTTAGCTTAGCTTAGCTTCATCTTAGCTTCGCTTAGCTGCAGTTTAGCTTTGCTTAGCTTAGCTGAGCATATCATAGCATAGCCCATCATAGCATATCATAGCGCAGCATAGCATAGCACATCATAGCATAGCGCAACACATGATAGCATACCATAGCCTAGCATAACATAGCGCAGCCTCGCGTAGCATAGCATAGCGTAGCATAGCGCAGCATCGCGTAGCATAGCATAGCATAGCATAGCATATCATAGCATAGTGCAGCACAGCATAGCATAGCATAGCATAGCAGCAAAGCAAATGCAAAGCAACAGCAGCAACAGCAAAGCGAAGCACACGCAACGCAAAGCAAAGCAAAGCAAAGCAAAAGCAACAACAAAGCAAAGGAAAGGCAAAGCAAAAGCAGTGTGCAACAGTACGATCAGAGAGACCACCAGGTGAGCGAATGCAAACACATGCGTGTGTGTGTGTGTGCGAAGGCAACGCAAAAACAAAACCAAGCAAAAGCACAAACAAGCAAAAGGAAAGGCAACTACGACGATGAGGAAAAGGAGGAGGACGGCGTTTACCGTTACTACTAATGCTGCTTTCCTAGGGGCTCCAACTCTTAGGTAGGGTCGCACTGGGGTATATTTATATATATACACATATAAACAGTCGTTCGAAACCCGCCTGTAGGAGGAAATGCCCGACCTGAGGGCACAGTCAACCCGCACAGTAAGGATGTGCAGCCTTCCCAGGGATGCCCTTGCCTCCTTGCCTCGTCGGCCCACCCTTGGCCACTCTCGTTGGCCGCGCCCCCCTCGAGAAGCTTCGAGGTGGGCGTCCGAGGCCCTCTGCACCCTTATCGCGCCTCCTTGCTCTACGGGTTGACGCTATGCCGAGGCTGCGCCGCGCGGCCGCTGGGTGGGCGTTCCGTGGGCGCCCCCCGCGCTTCCGGGGGCGCGCACGCCGCGGGGCGCGCCGCAGTGCTGCCCCGTGCCGCCGCCCTCGGGGGCGCAGCCCGTGCGCTGCGGGGGGCATGCAGCCAAGACGCTGAAGTCAGGAACAGCTTGGGGGCGGAAGGGGCTCGATGTTCCTTTGGGTCCTTCCATGGCTGCTCCTCTGGGGGCCACAAAAAGGGCTCCGGTCCTGATGTGTCGTCCCTTCTTTCAGCAGCCCGGCTGCATGCCGAGGTCGCGCCGCGCTGCCGCCCTGCGCCGCCTCGCGCTGTGGACGAGACGATCCATGGCGAGGAAGCACGTTGCCAAATGCTTTTCCAGATGCCGAACAAATTTTTAAACCATGCCTGAAACTTGTAAAGGCGGGGCTAAACCATTGTCCCTGGCATCGCTCGTACGTGTGTATTTGTTTCTCGGCGAGGGCCCTCGAGGAACATCCTGGATCATCGAGGGAAAAAACACGCACGAAACCGAGACATGCACGGGAAATGGACGTCCGAGCGACGGCAAGTGTCAGAACATGCCTCAAACAGCTTAGGCACACGTGAAGTTCGATGATTGGATTGGCAGAGTGTCCACTGGCGTGGCGTCCACGGGCCTCGCGGGCGCCTCGTTGGCGGCCGGCGTTAGCCGTGTGGCGCAGCATTCGCCACATCGCGTCCACCACATCGCTTGCACCACACACACACACAGCATAGCTGATAGCCCAGAGCGTACAGCCCTGCAGCTTCCACCTCCAGCGCACGCCACCTGGCTTGCACGACACAGCTTAGCCCACGTAGCTCACGCCCACGAGTGCTCACTTCCATCGCCCGCACCGCACAGCTGACATTGCCATGACTTTCACGCGGCATAGCGTTCACAGCGCATCGTCTCCCAGAGCAATGCCGCACTGCTTGGAGCCTGCCACGCTGGCTCACACATTCGTAATGATCGATCGTACGCTTTTCCCCACCTAATCGAATACGATCGATCGAATGTTCGGTCGGTGTTCGATCGAACACGCTTGTTTCATCGAATCGATCGATGTTCGATCGAACCTCAGAAGGAGGTCGCGTGCGGGTCGCGGGGTGGTTTGCAGGGCGGGGGGGGGACGAACAACAGGAACGGCAAAACCCGAACGGCGAAACCCGACTTTCGATACGTACATGGAGACAGTGTAATGCCGTAATGCCATTCGCCACCCTCATTGTGATGATGGGCGCGGATGGCTGAGACGAGTGCGATTATGTTGACAGTGGCGGTGATGATGATAACGATGATGTTCATGATCATTGGCAGTGGCGCTTACAGCATGTCGCTGGTGCTGCCATGGCTCGACTGGGCGTTGCCTCGACGTAAACGAGCGAGTCGGGATGATCCCTTATTAAGCCGCCAGAGCGCGTGGCTGGAAGAAATGGTCTGTCTTGTACGTTGCCCGCGCCAGCGTTGGCAGGCCAGGGACCAGATCTGACTCGAACTCATACTGTGGCCGCCCACTTGGCAATGCCAGAAGACACCGCCCTCACCGTTGGCCCGCCTGGAGGAGAAGCGAAAGTCGAAACCAGCTCAGCCGAACGGACTGCGCGAACGTGGCTAATAGTGTCGACTACAATGGCGACGACGATGATGCAACGGCGATGGCGCTCGTGCGGCAGTAGTGATGTCTACGGCGGTGGCTATGGCGACCTAGAGGTCAGGACAAAATGGGCCCCCGACCACTTCCCCGGGAACAGTTTTTCATCCCGAGTTGTTTTTTGACGATCCCGAGGCCTGGTAAGGGCCCTGAGAGGCCGAAAATTATGAAGCAACCCTTTCGACTTTTTCGAGACACCGGATGTCTGTTGACGTCCATGGTGACTCGGGAAAGTTCGGTGATCGTGACGGCGATGGCGATATTGACAGCCTGCGCAGGCCAGCCCGGTGTGCCCTGCGCGGGCCCTCTTCATGAACCCGGCGGTCATCCGGGAGGCCTCGGACATTCTGATGACCGTGGGCAGCGACTTCTTGCAGGACGCGCCGGGAGAGAGGACGGCCGGTTGCAGGGTTCAGAGGAGGAAAGGGTACTGATACCGCTACCTCCTCTCCTTCGTTTTCTCGCTTCGTCGGGCCTCCTGGGAGGCCCTCGTCGCCACCGCTGGATTCGCCGCGAAATTCAGGTCAGAACGCACACTGGGAGAGGTCCAGAGAGAAGCGGTATGTGTGCTCTTGATTTCCCGAAGGGTTCGCGTGTTGAGGAAAAGAGTGGGGAAGAGAAGGGCGATGGGGAAGATAATCAGGGGGGGGGAACACACACAGACACAATCAATCGTCGACTCTCAGGAAAATGTGGGAACATATTGGAAGTGGGGGGGAAGACGAAAACCCAGAGAATATGCGAAAATCTGGGGAATCCTGGGATTTGTGATTATTCATTTGTGTGTCCTCGGGCCCCTTTAGATAAGGGCGAGGGGGAAGGGAAGGAGAAGAAGGATATAGTGTGGCAGGGGCGGCGGTGGCAGAAGAGGAGGCACAGGAGATACGAAGGGATGCAGTGGCAGGCGATTGGCAGCGCCAGGGAGCAAGGTGCAGATGGAAGGCAGAGTGAGCAGGACAAGCAGGGGGAGGGCGAGGGTGGTTGAGAGGTTCAGGACGCCCATGACAAGGAGCTTTTGGGGAAGTGATGCGCAAGGAGCGCCTGTGGGTGAAGAGGGAAGGTTCTTCGAACACCAGGCAAAGGGGCACATCCAATTTCTTGTCTCTTCGCTCATTCATTCCACCATCCTGCCCATACTCGAAACCCTGTCGAGATGTCGGGAGAGAGGAAGTAGAGAAGCACACTATGAACTAAGGAAGACAACACTGAACCTTTGGGATCTATTTGAACCCCTCGGGGCTAGACGGGCTCTCTGGGGCCTCCTCGGGCCGCCTTGTCACGGTCTGAGGGGGCACGTTCTGGGAGGGGGACTCTTGGAAGCGTGTTGGGCACCACCGTTGTCAAATTTGAGCTGAAGTGCAACATCGTGGAGGTCATCCTGGAAAACACATGTTTTTTTCTTGGAGGTAATCCTGGCCTATGTGGGTTGTTCTTGGAGCAATCTTCAGCCACGCGGGCAGGGGGAGGGGGGGAAGCTTATTGGAAGGACCCCTGCTTCTCAGACGGCGCGGGCCTCATCTGTAGATGTAGTGCCCGCGCTTTCTAATCAGCAGCCTCCTTCTAAGAAGCCTTCCCCCCCCTCCCCCAATGGTCGGACCGAGTTACAAGATTCAGGTCGGCTCGGGGAGGGTACCCTAGTGTTCTTCGTGTTTGTTCCATGTCCTTGTGCATCCTGGGGAGGGTACCGCTGAATGTTCTGTGTGTTTTGGCCGGCAGAGGACATAATGTTCTTGAGGGATGTTTTTCTGTCCTAGATCCGGCTCTGCCCCATTGTGCGCGCCGCCAGCATATCTAGCGCCGCCCTGACCGCCCCAACGACCCGCGAGAGCCTGGCGCGAGACCCACTACTCGCATAGTGCCTAGTTACTCGCAGACACCAGAAAAATGTGTGTTTGTTTCGATGAAATGTATCGTAGATCCCCCGCGGCGGATCCAGGCCATTTGCGAGTAGTTACTTTGGCGATCGTTTTCTTATTCATTATTTTGCCGATCGGTGCGGGCCCTCGCACCCCCCCTCCCCCCCCATGGAGTAGATTTTGGCTTTCTGTTGGCGCCTGCTTCAGGCAGGGGGAGTCCTCCCCATCGGACGCCGTGTGGCAAACAGTCACCTTGAGCAGAGGTCCAGAGCCAGACCCCCCTCCCTTCCCCACCCCCGTCCGCCCCATGTCAGAACGCCGAAGAAGCAAACGTTCACAAGGCAGTGCCCCGAATGACGTTGCACTCAGGTTGTTGCTGGCCCGCCCGCGTCTCCAGTGTGCAGCGCCGCCCACGGAGGCGCGAGGCTGGCACGCCAAAGCCATGATTCGAAGACAGCGCCTCTCCTCCTCATCCTCCTCCTCCGCCTCCTCCGCCTCCTCCTATTCCTCCTCCTCCTCCTCCTCCTATTCCTCCTCCTCCTCCTCCTCCTCCTCCTCCTCCTACTCCTCCTCCTCCTCCTCCTCCTCGTCGGGTCGCCTACGGCCCCGGGGGAAACCGTGCAATACGATTCAGCTGGCACCACGAACGGCCCCAGGAGCACCCTGGAGGCCCCAAGACGCCCAATAGAGGCCCCACCTGACCCCGAGAGGCGCCCTCAGGCCCCCCCAGTAGGCACCTCAACGGCTCCCAGTAGACACCCAAACGGCTCCCAAAGTACCACGAAACGGCTCCCAGTAGACATCCACACGGCTCCCAGTTGACACCCAGACGTCTCCCAGTAGACACCCAAACGGCTCCCAGTAGACGCCCAAACGGCTCCCAGTAGACGCCCTCTCCCCCTCCTCCTCCCCTTCCTTCTCCTCCTCCTCCTCCTCCTTCTCCTCCTCGTCCTCCTGCTCCTTCTCCTCCTCCTCCTCCTCCTCCTTCCTCCTTCTCATCTCCTCTCCTTCTCCTCCTCGTCCTCCTCCTCCCCTTCCTCCTCCTTCTCCTCCTCCGCCTCATCCTTCTCCTCCTCCTCCGCCTCCTCCTCCTCCTCGTCCTCCTGCTCATCCTCATCCGTGGCGCGTCCTTAGTAATTTGGCCAAGGGCGACCACCGCGCCAGACTGCCAGCCACCTCCAGTCCACAGGCGACCCAGAGATCCGACGCTCCGAACAGATTGGTGCGGGCGGTTGTTGGCCGTTTTCGGCCTCCTGGTGCCCTCTCTGGGCCTCGGGAGCGCAACAAAAAACCGACGCAGGACGAACAAACCAGCCTGAACAAATTGGTGCGGGCGGTTTGGGGCCTCGTGGGACGTTAAGTCGGGCCTGTCCCTCTACAGGAGAAATATTCAGACATAGTCAAACAAATCGTCTGGGGATTTGTTTCACTTATTTTCTTAATATTGTTGGAGTATTTTGTTGGGTATGTTTTCAATTTGTCGTCCAACATCCGCCTGTAGGGGGACATGCCCGACCTAAGCGTAACGAAACACGACGCAGGACGAAACACCAGCCCCAGCGCAGTGCTCCGGACCTCCGGGGCCCACGCGTCGACAAACATCGGAGCAGCTGGACGTCTGGGGAGGGCAAGGTGCTGCGAGACGTCCCCGCGGCTCCCTCCCGCGAGCCCCGCGGATCCCGGCAGTCAGCGCCCGGCCATGAATCGGGGGCTCCCAAACGGGGTGGTGACCACACCGCGTGGTGAGTCGGTGGGGATTCGGGGTCGCCGCACGGTTTTGGGACTTGGGTCGTTCTCCGAGGACGTCTCGGGCGACTGGAGCCTCCGGGGTCCCAAAACCGTGTGGTGACGGACCGTGCGGTGAGGTCTTTGCGGATTTCGAGGTCACCGCTGGGTCTGTCACCACACGGTTGTGGGACACCCAAGTGAGACCGGCGTGGGCCTCCAAGACGCCCTTAGACGCCCCCACGACGGGCCAAGATGACCAGACAAGACAAGACGAGCCCAGGCAAGACACGGCAAGGCAGGACGCGGCAGGAGCTGACGCAATTGTCCGAGATAGCCACCAGGTCGGCTCAAGATGGCTCAAGGTGCCCCCAAAGGGCCATGAGAGGCCACCATTCTCCAACAAGCATTCAAGAACAATGAGCGATTGTGGCATTTTTGCATTTTCGCTCCCGAAGGGCGCCGCCAGAGGCCTCAAGATTTCCTCAAGGGGGCCCCGAGCGAGCCCGACGACGGGCCCTGGACCGGCCCAATATAGCCGCAGAGGCTCACCAGATGGCCCCCACAGGCCGGGAGGACCCCAAGAGGACACCAAGCTCCAAATCTCCAGAGGCCGACGAGGGATATGCAGTGGAGGGTTTCGACGAAGGGCATAGGCGGCCCGTCCTCCTCCTCCTCCTCCTCCTCCTCCTCCTCCTCCTCCTCTCCTCCTCCTAATTACTCCTACTCCTCCTCCCTCCTCCTCCTCCTCCTCCTCCTCCCTCTTCCTCCTCCTCTCCTCCTCCTCCTCCTCCTCCTCCTCCTCCTCCTCCTTCTAATTATTCCTCCTCCTCCTCCTCCTCCTCCTCCTCCTCCTCCTCCTCCTCCTCCTCCTCCTCCTCCTCCTCCTCCTCCTCCTCCTCCGCCCTCCGCCCTCCGCCCTCCGCCTCCTCCTCCTCCTCCCTCCTCCTCCTCCTCCTCCTCCTCCTCCTCCTCCTCCTCCTCCTCCTCTTCTCCTCCTCCGCCCTCCGCCTCCGCCTCCTCTCCTCCTCCTCCTCCTCCTCCTCCTCCTCCTCCTCCTCGGGTCACCTACGGCTCCAGGGGAAACCGTGCAATATGCAGCTGGCACTACGAACGGCCCCAGGAGCACCCTGGAGGCCCAAGAAGTCCAATAGAGGCCCCACCTGACCCCGAGAGGCGCCAAGGCCCCTCAGGTAGGCACCCCAACGGCTCCCAGTAGACACCCAAACGGCTCCTAGTAGACACCCAAACGGCTTCCAGTAGGCACCCAAATGGCTCTCAGTAGACACCCAAGCGGCTCCCAGTCGACACCCAAAGGGCTCCCAGTAGGCCCCGAGGGTCCGCCAGGCGAGACGTGAAGCCTCGCGGGACAGGGAGGGCGTGGGGTAGGGAGAGAGGCAGATACCTTCCAGGCGGGGAAGAAGGGGGCTGGAGGAGAGGATCGGCAACACCACCTGCGCCCAGAGGGCGAGCGAGATAGGATGGTATGGTGACGAGGGGAAACTGAGGAGGAGGAGGAGGAGAAGGAGGAGAAGGTTGTGCGCACAAGAGAGTGAGAGGTATGGCGTGACGAGTCATTACCAGGAGAAGAGGAAGGAGGAGCAGGAGGAGGAGGGCTCAGGCGACAAGGGAAAGTTGTAGAGGGACTCGATGTTGAGGAGATGCAGGATGAGAAGGATGATGTGGAAGCAGCTGGTGATGGTTCGACAAACAAGGTGAAGCTTGGGTGGGACACTCGACGGCCTTTTGCCCACCAGGACGGAGATGCCTCGCTGGTCAGCGACATGGTGAAAGCTGGTCTGCAGAACTTGAGCGCCCAGCTTGAGCACTCCCTCCCCGAGGTGTCCTGGGCTATCCGCGTCGGGTCTAGGGTTGTCTGTTCCATGATGGCACGTGAGGACAGTTCCCGAACCATGGCGATGCTGCTTTGACAGCGTGTATAGTTCAACATGCGGCACACTTACATGGAACCTGCCAGTTGTTTCCGAACTTGAGATATGGGCGGCCTTGGCAATAACAGTACATGTTCGATACACGTGCTGAAGCAATCTACGCATGCCCACTATGCATGCGATATACGACTGTCCGAACTATGGGCTTGCTTGTGTGTGTGTTGGTGTATGTGTGTGTGTTTGTTGGGTTGTTTGATTGCGTGCGTGTGTTGCAAGCGCGGCTTGTGCAGAGCAATGAAGCAGTGTCCAAGCAAACGTGTCGTCGAACACGCCGAAGGCATGCGCATTCAGGCTGCGATGTGAGGCAGTAGGGCTTGGAAGAAGCTACGCTGCTAGGAACACACATAATGATACCGTCATGCCCGCGCCGACTGCGCACCTTGTGTAAACGCAAACCTGATTCTCATACTAGCCAGCGCTATTGGGTCTTAGTAGAGGCCAATTGTTTATCTTCCAGGATTTGTGCTCGGTTGGTCGCCCAGTCCCGTCCTCGGACACCCAGCCTGGGGTCCAGCTCTGACCTCCGAATCCACGCTGCGTGCGTGACCACTGTGCTTCCCACGACCTGGCTCTGCGCCGCAGGTGCACACTCCGTGCGTTCCCTCTCGAGCATGGTGCGTTCCAGGTCCAGGCAGCGGGAGGAGGAGGAGGAGGAGGAGGAGGAGGAGGAGGAGGAGGAGGAGGAGGGGGAGGGAGGAGGGAGGAGGAGGAGGAGGGAGCAGGAGGAGGAGGAGGAGGAGGAGGAGGAGGAGGAGGAGGAGGAGGAGCAGAAGGAGGAGGAGGAGGAGGAGCAGGAGGAGGAGGAGGAGGAGGAGGAGGAGGAGGAGGAGGGCACCAGGCCAACTGGACCGGCTGCGGGTGCATCACCGTGCGCGCCCGCTCGTGCAGAATAGGTCTGCACAGGCATCTCGCGGAGGGGGGCATCACTGGACGTTCCCGGCCTCGGTGGAGATCGGGGTACCAAGCAGTGGCGAAGCGTCTTGGCTCGCCTATTGGCCCACCGAAGACTGTTCTAAGAACCTTCTGTGGTCTGCACGAGATGTTCTTAGAACATCTCTGGCCGAGACCGCCGTAGTTTGACACGTCGGAGTTATGCTCTAAGAGCACTACGAGCATGTCCTGGTAGGCCCAGAGGATTGCAGGGGCGGTCGGCCCCTGCTCAAGGGCAGCGTCTGGTCCCTCCTCGGAGGAGGCGCCTGTGCGGTGCACCCTCTGTCGTGCAGGCTCTCTGTGCCGCAGGCTGCGCGACGCAGCCCCGGCGCCAGCCGGCGCACGAGGCGCCCCCGCGCGGCGCCGCCACGGGCGGGCACCGGGCGAGCGTCGGCGGCGAGCCCGCGGCGGCAGCGCGAAGGCGAAGGCCCTCTCACCAAGCAGTGGCGAGGCGTTCTGGCGCGCCTGTAGGCCTACCAGGCCATGGTCTAAGGACCTTTTTGTGGTCTCCACGAAGTGTTCTCAGGACACTTCTGGCCGGGACCGTCTTGTTCGAACGCGTGGGGGGAATGTTCTAAGAGCACTGGTTTTGTTCTTAGAACATGTTTGGGTTCTAAGAACATGTCGTGGTAGGCCTATGGGAATGCCGGGACGGATGGTCCCTGCTCAACTCTCAGAACGATCGGACGTCCCCCGGCCTTCTGAGACGTTTCCTAAGCCCTCCCCAGCGACACTCTTGCCGTCGGCGGCGAGGCAGAGTTGGCTGCACCAGCGCAAGAGCTAGACGCGGGCACCGAAAGGCGAATGGGCCAGCATGCAAGAGGGAGCAGAGGGCAGGCAGGCGGCCGCGAGGGGGGAGGAGAAGAACAGGCCACTCGGACGCGTCCCCGAAGACACGGGAACCTCTCGGAAGGCCCGAGGCCTTCTGAGAAGCCCCGCCGCCCTCCGAGAATCAGGAGGAAAAGAATCACACAGACACAATTAATCCTCGATCCTTTTTATTTGTGTGCATTTATTTGTGCGTCCCAGGGCCCCTTCAGAGAAGGCCTTCTCCTTCTCTCTTTCCCCCCCCCTCGCTCGCCGCGGGGGCAGGCGCCAGGCGGCGCACGGCAGGTGCCGACGGGGGCGCCCGTCGGGCGGGCCTCTCGGAGGAGAGGGGGCGGGAGGAGGCGCCCGGCAGGCGCAGGGAGCCTGCGTGCGGGGCCATGAGCCTGGAACGCCAGCCATGAGCCAGCTTGTTTGTTTGATGTCTTGTTTTATGTTAATAAGAAAAATAATGTTTAAAAAGGAAGCACACATTTTTGATGTAGAAAATATTGTTTGAACACATATATTTATACACATATATATATATGTATATGTTTTAAAGCTCTGGCACTTTTACTTGCATGGACGGGGGGCAGAAGCCTGAACCTGAAGCCGAGCCGCAGACGGCGTGCGCGTGCGGAAGCCTCGCGCACGTCGCCGGGCACCTCACACGCCAGTGTTCGCGCGAAGAGGGGCGAGAGGGGGGGGAGCGAACGAACGGCATGCAGGTAAACTTGCCCGAATAGTTTGTTGTGTGCTGTTGCTGTCTTTGTTGTTTCCTTTAGTTTCTTACACAAAAATCAGAAGGGGAAAAAACACACAGACACAATTAATCGTCGATTCCCCAGAAAATATGGGAAAATATGGGAAGTGGGGGGGAAGACAAACACCCAGAACATATGGGGATATGGGGATGATTTTTATTTGTGTGTACTTATTTGTGTGTCCCAGGGCCCCTTCGAAAAAGGCTCTAGGCACAGGGGGCCCGCGTGCGGGCACTGGGCGCGGAGCTCCTGGAGCGCCGGCCGTGTTCGCGGGCGACGGCCCGTGTGCACCGTGCCGCGCGCCGGCGTCTGCCCGAGGCGCCGGCGATGTCTCGGCCCAGGAAGCGTAGAGGTGTGGGAGACGATCTGTGGGGAGGAGAGATGCTGTTCAATGAATTTCCAGATGTCTCAAAAATATATCAACACACATGCACACATAGACATAGGCACTATGTCACACAAGCCCTCTGGGCGGACAAACTGTTACACAGCGCTCTGTCTGCTGCTATGCACTGTACCTGCTATGTTGGGTCCTCCCGCCTAATTTCATCACTCCGGCCCCCGCGAAAAAAAAACACAACAAAACATGTATCAAACACATGCACGTGAAGACCTAGATTTAACACATGTTTAAAGCAGCTTTAAAGCATTAAAGACGCCTTCAAAGTCCAATGGTAGTGCTGTTGGAGTGTCCACTGTCGTGGATTCCACAAGCCTCGAGGTCCGACGCTCTGAGAAAACAAACTGGAGCGTGCGGTTCTTGGCCGTTTTCGGCCTATGGGGGCCCTCGCCGGGCCTCTGGGGTTGTGGAGGACGATCAATGGAGAGGAAGCATGTTGCCAAGTAGTTCCCAGATGTCTAAAGCATGTGCTCAACATATTTCAAATATGTAAACAAACATGTTTAACACAGGCTCAGAGCATTTGTCCGGCATGTGAAGCACACTTTGAGTTCAACGCTAGGACTGTCAGGGTGTCCATCGTCGTGGCGTCCGCAGCCCTGGAGCGCCAGAGAGCGGCCCTGGACGAGAAGCCGGCCCGGCAGGGAAGCGGTCGATCGGGACCTTTCCGGGGCCCACGCCTCGAGCAGAGCGGAGCCGCCGGGTGTCCTGGGCTGGTGCGGCGCACGGCTCATTTCAGGAGGGGGAAACACACACAGACACAATGACTCGTCGATGTCCTAGAAAATATGGGAAAATATGGGAAGTGGGGGGGAAGACAAACACCCAGAAAAAATATAGGGAAATAGGGGGAGTCTGTTGATTTGCGTGTATTTAATTATTTCGTGTGTCCTGGGGCCCCTTCATCATTCTCGGCCTTCCAGAGCTGGGGCAAACACTGCGCACCGCACCGAGGGGCTTCGCACGCCAGGGATGGGGACGCTGCGAAGGCCTAAGGGGGGGACGCTGCGGGAAAAAGCCCGCCGAAGAGTTCCCTCTGGAACCCTCCGGGGACCGGCTGTTCCAAGCCGGCGGCGGCCGCTGCTGGGCGGGCGACCTTCTGTCTCGAACGGACCACGCCCGCGGGACCCAAGACCCCCGACGTCATGATCTTTTCAGTGCGTCGACCCCTGGAGGTCTCGACCCATTCCCTTGGATCAAGCAGTGGCGAAGGGTCCCGGCTCGCTTATAGTCCCCCCCAAAAATGTTCTAAGACCCTTTTGTGGCTTGTGCGAAATGTCCTCTGAGCATTTCTGGCTGGATCTGTTTTGTTTCAACACATCGGGCTTATGTTCCAAGAACATTGTTTTTGTTCTTAGAACATGTTTGGGCTCTACGAACATTGCGTGGTAGGACTATAGGAATGCCGGGACGGTCGGTCCCTGCTCAATTGGACCGGTTTTGCATCCCGAGTCATTCTTTGACTGTCCCGAGGGCCGGTGAGGGCCCCCAGAGGCCGAACACAGCAAGAAACCTCCCGTCATGATTTCTTCATTGCCCGAAGGGGGTCTGGGTACCGCGTTCGAGCGGGGCCTGCACGGAGTCCAGACATGGCGCGGTGAACGGGCGCCGTTCTCGCAATGAAGCCAGGGCGCGAGGCGCGCACGGGTGGGCACCCAGCGAGGTGCCCAGAGCCCCTCGCGCTGTGCAAAGAAAACACGGCCGGGGGGGGTTTCGCTGTCTGCGGCCTCCAGGGGCCCCACCCCTAGCTCGAAGTGACTCACAAGGGGATCCAGCGAAAAGGGGGTGGTGCAACCGATGTGGGGCAAGTGTATGGCAAATGTACTGCGCCGGAGAATTGTACTGCCCTGTACTGAAAGCAATGTATCGCACGCGAAAATCCAGCAATATGTCTGCGCCCCGAAGTGTATTGCACGCCCCAGATGTACTGCAGTCCCACAAATCTATTGCACCAATTTTTTTGCATAGGGGGGGATGCATCGACCCCCAATCGCCCACTGATCGCCGATAGGGGCCCGATAGCCCCAACCTGCCCAGGAAGGTGCGGATTCACCATCGGAGGCCCATCGCCGATGTATCGGCGATGTATCGCCGCTTCCAGGTCGATGCATCCCCCCCCTGTGCCAGTCTCCCCTATCGTTGCCCCTCAACAAGGCAGCACTCGATGGAGCACTCTGGAGCAACCGTTCCTGCAGGTCAGCCACAACTGGGGGAGCTGTGGTCCTTACCCCCCTGGGGGACCCATCGATTTCGACACCCCTCTCGAGAGATCGTCGATGCGATGGGTTCCCCCAGGAGGGTAAGGACCACAGCTCCCCCAGTTATGGCTGGTCGGTCCTGCGCCACGCGCAGCACCGACCACACGCCCCACAACTCTGCGGCGGGGGGCCCCGGCCCGCCCGCGCCGGCCCTCCCGGCCTCGCCCCCCCGCGGCGGACTCCGGCGCGCACCGCCTCGCCGCGCCCCTGGCCTCGGGAGCGTGGACTTGGGCCTGCCCTTCTACAGGAGGAAAAAAAACGAAGCTACTCAAAGTCAAGACATGGTCTATGGACGAGGTCTCTACTCTTTTTGATCATGCTTGAATTTGTTGTTGACTAGTTCTGATTTGTCCTTCACAATCCGCCTGCAGGAGAACATGCCCGACCCAGTTTACTGGGGGCGTCAAGGAACGACTCGGGATGGAACACCGGTCCCCGGGAAGGGGTCCAGGATCCTGGTGGGTGCCACGTCGTGCCAGAATCACGACGTCAGGTGTTCGGGTTCCTGGTTTCGGTCAGCCCCCCCCCCGCCGCCGCTGGACCCGCAGCCCCGCTGCTGCTGCTGCTGCTGCCCCCACCCCAGCGACGACCCGCCACGCGCCCCGAGCACCCCGCCCTTCTGAGCGGGCCCCGCTCCTGACCCCCCCCCCCCGGCCCTCGCCCCGTCGTCCCCTCCCCCGCCCCTCCTGCGCACGGCGGCGCTGTTCGCACAGCGCCTGCCCCGTTTCGCTCCGCGTCCGCCGGCGCAGTGCCTCTGCCCAGCCGCCGACGCACAAGAAGTCTGGGCTCTCGGCGGCCCCGCCCGCGCCCAGCGTCCAGGAGGCGCCCACGGGGCGGGGGAGGGGGGGGCCATAGGCTTTTACGTCGGGCCTGTCCCTCCACAGGAGGAGTATCCAAACATAGTCAAAACACAGTCTGGGGCCTATTTTTGGAGCACCCTTTGACCATGTAGTAGGCCAGAGCCCGGAAGCTCAGAGGCGAGGCGGCCGCGAGGCACGAGCACAGCACCGGAACACAGGAGGTGCGATCCCGCCGGTGCACGGGGGGGGGGGGCCCACGAGGCGCCCGCGGGCGGGGACTCGGGCCGCGAGGCCAGCAGCGCCGCGCGGCGCACGGGGCGGGGGCGCCCACGGGGCGACCCCCGCGGGCGAGCGCCCGCAGAAGCCCCGAGGCGCGCACCGGCTGCTCCACCAACGGGCAGCAGCGCCTCCTCCGCGGCCGCTCGGCCTCGAGCGCGCGCAGCCACCGCGCCTCGGGCGCCTCGCGGGTCCCCGCTGGCCCGTGGCCGCCCCTGCGCGTCCAGGCTCCTCGGCCCCTCGCTCCGCGGCGCTCCGCGGGCGCGATGGCCTGCTGCAGGCTCCCGCCCGGCGCCCGCCGAGAGATGTGCGTGCGCTACGCCGGCCGGCAGGCCGAGCTGGAGGGCCGCCCCGAGGCCATCCTCTTCCGGAACGCGCGCGTCTTCGACGGCCTCACAGACGCGCTGTCGGCCGGTGGCAAGTCGTGCGAGCCATGTGCTCCGAGGCGGGGGCTCACTCGAAGAGGAGACAAGAACGCATAAGCATAAACGTTCGACGCTCCGCGCGGGTTTCTTGGATCTGCGCTAGGGACCCCTGGCGGCGCCCCCGGCGCCGCCCCTGGCGCGCTCCGCGCGCCAGGGTAGGGGGCCCAGCGCAAATCCAAGAAATCCGCGCGGACCGTCGAAAGTTTATGTTTATGTGCTTTTCCTTTTCCATTTACAGTGGAGACCCATGCCAAGAAACACCCTGCTCGCCTCCAGGACGCCCTGGATTTCTTGGGCTTCGATGGTTTTGCTGTGAAAGTGTGACGTTCCCACGCCAAAAATCAATGAACGTCCTGGGGTCTCAGGGTTGGGTTTCTCGTGGAAGTTCTCTAGTGGTTGGGCCCCTACTGTATGCATAACCACCGAATGGGGGATCGATACTCGGGGACCTCGGCAGGTGGTGGGTCTGGGGCCAAATTATATCCATATTCACCGCCCGCTGGGGTCCCACGTCGTCGGTTCCACAGGCGGTGGGTATGGACCAAAAAGCGCGCCCGTGGAACACTTTATTTAAAGGGGGGGCCCAGCTCCATGCTACCCCCCCCTCGGAAAAGGGGAGGGTGGGGGGCTTCCGAAGGTACGCCCCCTCCCCCCTTGTGGTTGGCATTTTATAGCTGGGGGACCCGTTAGTTTACGGCGCCCTCTTGCGTTGCGGCACCTTGTTGGTTTTCGGCGCCCCTTGGGTTTTCAGCGCTGCTTTTGTTTTTCGGCGCGCTCCTTTGGTTTTCGGCGCCCTTTGGTTTTCGGCGCGTTTTCGGCGCCCTCTGGTGTTCCTCGCCCCTTTGGTTCTCGGCGCCCCTTTGGTTTTTTGGCGTCCTTGTGGTTTTCGACGCATCGTTGGTTTTCGGCGCCCCTTTAGTTTTCGTCGCCTCTTCGGTTTTCGGCGCCCTTTCTTTTTTCGGCGCCCTGTTGGTCTTCGGAGCTCTTTTTGTTTTCGGCACCCCCTTGGTTTTCGGCGCTCCTTTGATGATCGGCGCCGGCGCCCCTTTAGTTTTTCGGCGCCCTTTTGGTTTTCGGCGCATCGTTGGTTTTCGGCGCCCCTTTTTGTTTTCGGGGCTCCTTTTGGTTGTCGGCGCCCCTTTGGTTTTCGGCGCCCCTTTGGTTTTCGTCGCCCCTTTGATTTTCGGCGCCGCTTTGGTTTCGGTACCCTTTTGGTGTTCGGTGTCCCTGTGGTTCTCGTCGCTTTGGTTTTCGGCGCTCCTTTTGTTTTCGGTGGCCCTTTGGTTATCGGCGCCTCTGCTGGGTTTCGGTGTCCTTTTTGTTGTCGACGCTCTTTTGGTTTTCAGCGCCCCTTTGATTTTCGATGCCTTGTCGGTTTTCGGCGCACCTTGGGATTTCGGCACCTTTTGGATTTTCAGAAATTCATTGGTTTTCGGCGCATCGTTGGCTTTTTGCGTCCTTTTGGTTATCGGCTCCTCTTTGGTTTTTGACGTTTTTTTGTTTTTGTTTTCGGCGGCCCTGTGGTCTCCGGCGCCCCTTTGTTTTTCTGCGCGCCTTTGGATTCCGGCGAATCGTTGATTTTCGGCGCCCGTTTGGTTTTCGGCGCATCTTTGGTTTTCGGCGCTAATTTGGCGTTCGGCGCTCCTTTGGTTTTCGGCGCCCCTTTGGTTTTTGTCGCCGTTTTGGTTTTCTGGCGCTCTTTTGTTTTTCGGTGCATCTTTTTGTTTTCGGCGCCCCCATTAGTATTCGGCGCCCGTTTGGTTATCGGTGCCCCTTTTGATTTTTCGGCATTATTTTAGTGTTCGGCACACCTGTGGTTTTCGGCGCCCCGTTGCTTGTCGGAACATCGTTGGTTTTCGGCGTCCTTTCAGTGCTCGGAGCCTCTTTAGTTTTCAGCGCTTGGTTTTCGGCACACCTTTGCTTTTCGGCGCTCCCTTGGTTTTCGGTGCTCTTTTGGGTTTCGGCGCCCTTTTGGTGTCCGGCGCACCTTTGGTTTTTGGCGCTCATTTGTTTTTTTGGTTGGTTTGATGTTCTCTGCGCCCTTTTGGTTTTCGGCGCCCCTTTGGATTTCAGCGCCACTGGTTGTCGGTGCTCTTTTGGTTTTCGGCACCCCTTTGATGTTCTGCGCACCCTTTGGTTTCGGCGACTTGTTGGTTTGCGGGGCCCTTTGGTTTTCTGGCGCCCTTTTGTTCTTCGGTACCTTCTTGGTGGTCGGCGCCTCTCTGGTTTTCGGGGCTCCTTTTGGTTGTCGGCGCCCCTTTGGTTTTCGGCGCCCCTTTGGTTTTCGTCGCCCCTTTGATTTTCGGCGCCGCTTTGGTTTCGGTACCCTTTTGGTGTTCGGTGTCCCTGTGGTTCTCGTCGCTTTGGTTTTCGGCGCTCCTTTTGTTTTCGGTGGCCCTTTGGTTATCGGCGCCTCTGCTGGGTTTCGGTGTCCTTTTTGTTGTCGACGCTCTTTTGGTTTTCAGCGCCCCTTTGATTTTCGATGCCTTGTCGGTTTTCGGCGCACCTTGGGATTTCGGCACCTTTTGGATTTTCAGAAATTCATTGGTTTTCGGCGCATCGTTGGCTTTTTGCGTCCTTTTGGTTATCGGCTCCTCTTTGGTTTTTGACGTTTTTTTGTTTTTGTTTTCGGCGGCCCTGTGGTCTCCGGCGCCCCTTTGTTTGTTTTTCTGCGCGCCTTTGGATTCCGGCGAATCGTTGATTTTCGGCGCCCGTTTGGTTTTCTGCGCATCTTTGGTTTTCGGCGCTAATTTGGCGTTCGGCGCTTCTTTGGTTTTCGGCGCCCCTTTGGTTTTTGTCGCCGTTTGGGTTTTCTGGCGCTCTTTTGTTTTTCGGTGCATCTTTTTGTTTTCGGCGCCCCCATTAGTATTCGGCGCCCGTTTGGTTATCGGTGCCCCTTTTTGATTTTTCGGCATTCTTTTGGTGTTCGGCACACCTGTGGTTTTCGGCGCCCCGTTGCTTGTCGCAACATCGTTGGTTTTCGGCGTCCTTTCAGTGCTCGGAGCCTCTTTAGTTTTCAGCGCTTGGTTTTCGGCACACCTTTGCTTTTCGGCGCTCCCTTGGTTTTCGGTGCTCTTTTGGGTTTCGGCGCCCTTTTGGTGTCCGGCGCACC